AGAGGTCCCCGTCTGCTGTCCTGACCTGTTGTCTCAGGAGGTTTGCTGCTTGCCTGGGCCTCAGATTCAGGATTTTGTTGACTGTTGAAGCTTATCTGGCCCTCAGACTACTACTTGCTGCTGCTCTGCCATGTGAGCACCAACACTATTTCCAGGGGAGATCTGGAAAACATCAAGTGTGACTGCATGGCTCTGGGGGCAATTCAAGGGCAGAGGGGCCCAAGTGGTGATCTCAGTCCTGCTGGTAAGGGAGAAGGGACAAGGAAGTGATTTGGAGTAGTCAGGATGGGTTTATAAACAGGAAATCATGGTTAACCAAGCCAGTAGCCCTCTATGATAAGACAGGTGGCTTGGTGCATGAGGGGAGAGCAATGGATGCTGTTTATCTTGACTTCAGTAAAGCTTTTGATGCTATCTTCTGCAACATCTGCACAGGCAAACTGATGAAGTACAGACCAGATAAGTGGACAATGGGCTTGATTGAAAAGTGGCTGAACTCTTGAGGCTCAGTGGGTTGTGGTCGGTGACGTGAAGTCTAGCTTAGAGGCTGGGGGCTGACTGGCTGGAAAGCAGCTTTGCAGAAGAAGATTTGGGGTGTCCTGGTGGACAGAAAGGTGAACAGAAGTCAGCAATGTGCCCTTAATGGCAAAGAAAGCCAACAGCAGCCTGGGCTGCATTGGGAAGAGCATTGCCAGCTGGTTGAGGGAGATGATCTTTCCTGTCTGCACAGCACTGGTGAGACACACCTGGAGTCCTGAGTCCAGTGCAGGGCTCCCCAGTACAACAGAGACGTGGACATGCTGGAGCGAGTCCAGTGAAGGGCCGCAAAGATGATGAAGGGACTGGAACATCTTTCATAGGAGGAGAGGCTGCAAGAGCTGGGCTTGTTTAGCTTGGAGAAGAGAAGGCTCAAGGGCATCTTATCAGTGTATATAAATACCTCACAGGGGATGTAAAGACGATGGTGACAGACTCTTCTCAGTGGTGCCCAGTGATTTGGCAAAAGGCAATGGGGACAAATTGAAATACAAGAAATTCCTTTTAAATATAAGAAATTGATACTAATTTTTATTTTTTAACCGTAACAGTGATGGAACACTGGAGCAGGTTGCTCGGAGAGGTTGTGGAGTCTCCATCCTTGGAGATATTCAGAACCCAACTGGACACAGCCCTGAGCAGCCTGCTCTAGGTGACTCTGCTCTGAGCAAGGGTGTTGGACAGGATGATCTCCAGAAATGTTTTCCAACCCCAACTATTCTGTTTTGTATCCTAATGGATCTCAGATGGAACTAGATGCCTGTGTATGGTCAGTTAAACCACTATGTTTACTCCCAGCATTCATCTCAATTCTGTTGACTTCAAAGCTTCCTAAAAAGTAATAAAAATTAAAAAAAAAAACAAACAAACTTGAAATACCACTATGTTTTAGAAGAAAAAAATGTGGATTAATATTGTATAACCATTTGCTGAGAGTAACACGTACTCAGGATGTAGGGGCCTGTAATGGTTTTATGAATGGTGAAGAATAAAACTGCGTGAAATAGTATAGAGCCTCCCTTTAAACTGGCAGGGACAGTTCTTTGCATGTGTCTTCTAACAGAAGGGTCTATATTCCTGTCTCAAAACCAAAATCTTGTATTTCTTGGGCAGAGAATAAAAGTGCTTTGGATTATTTTGTGTGATGGAAACCTAAGCCTGTCTTTAAAGTTTTCAGTTTCCCAGTTGAGGGAAATCTCTACTTATGCAGAAGACAAGTGTGCTGTACATGGCATGAAGGGAAAAGTAAACTCAATTTGAAAAATTTTCTGAAGATGCTTATACCTACAGCGTTGTGTCACATTTTACCATTGCATTCATCATTTAGTGGGTGTTGCATACAACTTATTCAGTTAATTTATTGCACATTCATCCAGTGTTTGTATCATTTCATAAGTGGAAAACTAAATCCAAGTCTGTCAATATTTATTGCATATTTTAGAATGACTGTTGTTACAAGCAGCAAGAATATGATCTGTTTCATTATTGTGAAATGTGCTTTAATTTCTGCCATGTTGTTCACTTAACGCTTTTTGAGTGTTGTAAAAGCCCTTGTACATTTCAGAAAAAAAATCCCATTCTGAGATGATGATGACACATTCTATGTTTTGAAGTTACTTTATAGTGAGAGCAAATATCAACTTCACAGATAGATTGCAGAGTAGTCATCTAACATCAATTGTTGATATCATGTTAAAGAGCAAAGAGACCATAACTGTTTACCTTGTGTTTATAAAAGTTAGGGTTTAAGAGGTATTCCAACCTTTGGGTAAGGACACTTTTCATTAAAATTTCTGGAGTCTGAGAATCAATTATTTTATCACAAAACTTATTTTTGGAAAGCTATCTGTTTCTACTTGTTCATGCAGTTTGGTCATTAGAGCTACTATTAATGTTCAGAGAATATCTTCCTCATAATGTTATTTTGTTTACCTCCAGCGTGGTGTCCATCTGGAAGCATGAACTTGGAAATTCAGTTTTATATTAAATAGTATCTGATGCTATGTTTTATTTTGTCCTGCAAGATAATTGTAATACACAGAATCAAGTAAATAAACAACTAAGTGAGAGGATGTCTTTGGAACATACTAGTTATAAAGACAAAATATCTTAATTATGAAATGTAGTTGCCAGCAGACAAATAAAACTTTATCCAGTGGTGCATTTCACCAATGATGTAAAGGCTAAAACAGAAGTGATACCAGCAACAAATGCAAGAAGTATTTTACCTTTGTTTCTTTTTGCTCTAAACTGCAAAAATAAATTATTGCTATTTAGTGAAGAGTTCAAAGTTCTGTTACTTTTTTTCCTCCTCCAACATATTATTTTCAGTGTCTGTTTGGTATATTGTGCTGAAAAGTAAATCAAAAGGAAAAATTAATTTTCTGATGAAACTTGCAAAATACAGTTTTAGAAGTCTCTTAAAAATCAACCTAAGTTTTCACAGTAGTATCAATCCTGCAGTATCTTATTGGAAAGCTCCTGTTATTTCTAAAGCCACAGAATTAAGCTTGTAAGAAACATCTTACTCATAGTTCAGCAAAGTGTCTACAGTGTTGCATTTCTCTGTACTGCTGCTACTTTATTGTGGATACTTTGAGAAACTGTTTTGTAAGGGTCACAGCAGAACAATAAGAATGTTGGTTTGTTGTGTTGTTTTTTTTCTTGGCTATCATAATTTCATCATTATTGTGTCTGTTGAGATATTCAATATAATTCCTGGGCAAAAATAAGTATATGAAATGGATGGATAAAGGAAATACTTTGTAATTGGCAAGGGGAAAAGGGTGGATGCGAAGGCCTAATTAAATATAATAAAATACATACAACTGGCAGAAATTTGTTTACTGCATTTTAACCCACACAGTATAAAATTATGTAAAGTAAGAAAATGAATTAAACCATGAAGTTTAGCTGTCATTCTGAGAGCTCTTCTCTTCTGTCTGATGCTGTAATGACAGAATGAAAAATTGTTTTGACTTTCATTCATTCTTCTGGAGTCTGGGAAACATGTTTATCCTGAAGGGTTTAGAAAATTGTATTTAGAGGAAGCAAACAGATAAACTGTAATGATCTGTATAAATTTGTAATTATTTTGTTCTAAGTGGGTTGGTTTCTAAATGTCAAAATATAGCAGATCTCCATGGAACTCCTTTTGGTTAATGGAGGTAGAGAGAAAGCTTCTTTCAATCATCCACTGGAGTTTAAGTTAGGTGCCTATATTAGAGGAGTCTCTGTTTCTGTTTCTCTCCTGCCTATACATAGACACAGGAGTGTAATATGGTAAAAGAAGGAGGCTAAGAAAAATCATGCAGCAATTTTCTGAATGGTTATCAGCAGGGAAAGTGTTAAATTTTAAGCATTCAATTGAAGGCTGTACATTTATTCACCCATCTGAATAGCACAGTTAGGAAGACACTAATCTTATTCCCTGGATGGGACCAAATGTTTGTTTTCTGTTGTAATATGTTCACAGAATAGTTGAGGTTGACGGGGACCTCTGGAATTCATCTAGTCCAACCCCTTTGCTCAAGCAGGGTCACCTAGAGCAGGTTGGCCAGGACCATGTCCAGGTGGCTTTTGACTATCTCCAAAGGTAGAGACTTCACAACCTCTCTGGGCAACCTGTGCCAGTGCTTAGTCATCCTCACAGTAAAAAGGTGTTTTCTAATGGTCAGAGAGAACCTCCTGTGTTTCAGTTTGTGCCCATTGCATCTTGTCCTGTCACTGGGCACCACTGAGAACAGCTCATCTCCATCTTCTTTGCACCTTCCCTTCAGGTATTTATGGACATTAATAAGATCCCCCTGAGCCTTCTCTTCTCTGAGCTAAACAGTCCCAGCTCTCTCAGCCTTTCCTCACAGGAGAGATGCTCCAGTCCCTTCATCGTCCTCATGGCCCTTTGTTGGACTGTCTCCAGTATGTCCATGTACTAAGGAGCCCAGAACTGCACACAGCAGTCAGGGTGCTGAGTAGAGGGAAGGATTACCGCCCTCAGCCTGCTGGCAATGGTTTTCCTAATGCAGCCCAGGATAGCATTAGCCTTCTTGTGGCAATGGCATGTTAGTGGCTCATGTGGATTCTTGCAGTACATCCCATGATATATCTTGCCTTTTGTTTTGGAATATTCCGTTATTAATTCTTACTACCTTTTCCGTTGAAAGGATAATGATTTTTTTCTGCTTAATTGTTTGTTACAGTACACATGTATATCAGGGTGTGTATTTATATGTATGTGTGGAAGGGTGGATAAGAGGATGGTGAGTTGTTTTTATAACTCTCTTTTAAAAACCATGGCTAAAAATTCTTTAGAATGGAAGAGGTTTTGGTTCTCTGCTTAAGAAAATCAAGGAAACTGGTTATTAACGCACTGATCAGAATCTATAGTGATCAGGTTTATTTCTTCACTGTTGTGAATACTAAGTTGCTTTTCTTCCCCCCCATCTTTTCTCTGTAATTCACAGCTTTTGGAAATTAACTGGACTGGACTGACCAATCTTCTGGATGTTCCAGGACTGAAGTGAGTATATGTAAAGCAGTTTTGATATTCCTTCACCCCAATAAGCCCCAGAAAATCTGAAGACCGTCAGCTAAGTAATTTTAGGTTCAATGACTCTGAGCAGTTATCTCTTAATTTAGAATTCTATGAAATTGCTCAATATGCAGAAGGTAGCGATTTCATTACAAGTGAAAGTACATCAGAAGTGTATCTAGTATGTCTTGGTAAAAACATTTTGAAAAGATAATTTTCGGTCTGCTTTTTTTAGTGTTCTCAACCTTTCCAGTTTTCCAGAATCTTGTGAATTTCCTATGTGCCATCTCCTAGGACAGCAGAAAGATAAAGAACCTTATTTTTCACACCAGTGGGTTCACAACATCTTGGCTCGTGGCTTTGTATGCTGATACATCTCTAGTTGCTTGTGTAAAGGTAGTTAGAAGTACCTTAAAACAGTCATCAAATTAAACTAACTTTCTAATCTCTTCAAGTACTTACTGTTAAAGCTCTCAGTTTATTACGTGAAGACCAAATGGAGTAGCAAAAATATTGACCATATATAGCTAGAAAAATTGCTTGGCTTCTTCAGAGCTTTTCAAAACAGTACATGATAAAACCCCAAAGAAAAAAGCAGAAGTAGAGATGAAAACCAAGCTGCTTTGAATCACTGCAATCCTGGTAAGGTTAAATCCACGAATATATTCACAATTGTCAAGTTGTAATAGTTACCCAGGGGCTTCTTAATATTGAAACAATGGCTAAGGGGATAATGGCAGATCTGATACACACTCGGATTTTGTGACTAGTCCTTTTATTGGATCCCATGCTCTCAAGAGTTGGCTGACTCCAGAATTATTTTTTATTGTTTAAAAACAAGAGTTTGAATTGAGGTATTAAATTAATCCTTTAGTGCTCAATTGCGTGACTGAAATGGTTTTTGCTTTACTTAGGCACGTGAGGCCATTGCATGGAATCCCAGTTGAACAGTTTGAAATTAGAACTTGCACTAAGTAGGTTAATGGCTGCAAGATTTGCTTGTGTTTCAAGCCTGCTTAAGACTGCCTCCGAGGAAGGAGGTTTTCTTGGTGGGTGAGAAAATGGCTTCAAAAATACAGCTCCTGAGTAATAATTTGCTCTTTTTATATAACACTAATAAATTTACATTTAGTACTTAAGCTTACTAGGCTCCTGAGTTTCATATCATGCTGCATATTTGCCTGACTGCAAACACAAACCCTCAGATGTAAACAAAGGATTGCCAAGTGTCTCAAGTTTATGGTTTCCAGAGCAACCAAGCTTGGCCACATACACATAAAATGGTGCCATCTACGTGTGGTATAGTTTCTATAGTAACTGTAACTGAGATGAGTCATGCTGTGCCTTGCCAAGAGATTTGTTCAGTGCTGTATTTGTTTTTCTTATCTGTATAGATAGTGTATTTTGGTATGACGGCTTGATGTATTGTAGTTGTTAAAAACAACGATGAACAAGAGATTGCTGCTGCCACAGGTACCTTTTTCGTCCTGTGACTGTTGGCTGCACATTCAACTACTTATTCGTACTCTGTTTGCAAATGTCTTCTACTAAATGAATTTCTGCATTTGCTGCTGGAAGCTTCCGTGTCAGCTGTTAACAACTTCCATTGCACTTTGTATATGACTCCACAAGGAGAAAGGCACAAAAGTAATTCATATTCCATCATTAGGATAGCTTATGGAGGAGTGGAATTAAAACCTCTATGTGAGGAGGAGCCAGGCTGTGAGAATACTCAAGTGCTGTCAGGAGAGGATGTTGATGATGGGAAGGTGAATTATGTTATGGTTGCTTGAGATATAGTGAAAATACTCTATGCAGTCAGAGATGTGCTGTCTCTGCAGCATGAATAAAGACAACGCAGGAAAAATACATAGCTGCTTATTCTGTCACCAAAAATAAAGTAGAGCTAAATAGCAGTACAAAAGAGTAAGTAACTGTCAATTATATTTTTGCAATGAAATTGAGCTTTTGAAGACACTTACTATAATAAACTATATGAAGCATTTCACACCCCTCATTTTTGTGAACTGAAAAAATAATTGTACTTAGAATCAATGACTTAAGAGTTTTACAATCTTAAGAAGGTGTTTATCGATGATGTATCAACATAAGAGTTTAAATTGATTCATCTTTCTCTGTTGCTTGGTCAGTGATTTGTCTCCGTTTTCCATAGATCAGACCTCTTAGTTTAAGTAATAAGATAGTTAAAAAGATTGTCATTTTTGCCTTGGATTCATGAAGAATACTTTCCACATGGGAGTATCCCATTTGGCTAATATTTGGTTAGATAAGTTTTAAACAGCTTGAAAGTGTCACGTTGTTTAGAATTCGTTTAGTTCATTACTTAGTTATGGTGTCTGGTATTCTTTTTCAGCTCCCTGTTTTTAAAGATGGAATATCTGCTTCCTCCTATGAGTCCAGTTTCTCTGTGTAAAATTCTGTGAAATTCCATTAATGCTGGTTCATTTTTCATATTCATTTCTCAGATGTTTTAGTGAAATTCAAGCATTTATGTTGGGATAAAATTGTGAGGCTCACCTTTGGAATCACAGAGTTGGGGTTTGGTCCTAGCATAAAGGTTTGGGAATCTTCCCAGTGACTGGGCTGTGTTGGGCTTCAGGCTGTTTCTCTCTTATTCAAGGAGATCTGCTGTAGCTCCATTTGAACATTAGTCAATCTCTGAACCTTTTGCTAGTCTAGGATAGGTATTTTTATGACTATAGCTTATTTCATAGTGTATGTGATCTTCACTTAATACTAGAGAAAAGCACAACAACCTTTCTTTCAAGGCAGCTCTGGTACCATTGCGTCTCTCGCGCTGCTTTCTCTGACCTAGGTCAGTTAGTTTTCTTTATTAATCTTCTGTTCTTAAGGCATGCACTTTATTGAGCATAAAGGCAGAGCTTTCTCTTCTTGCCAGGTAGGGACACTAACAAAAGTGGGAACAAAAACTTACGTGATCTACTGGAGACTTGTATTTTGAAAAGCGTTTTTGTTGCTTGTGTAGTTACCATCACCTCAGCTTTTGGTTTGGGGTTTTTTTTCCTTTTAATATTAAAACTGGTTGAGATATTTATCTTAAATTTTTAAGTCAACTCTAACAAAATAATGGGTTCTATTTTCTTGGTTCATTTTAGAGAAAGTTTAGCATACATAAGTTGAAAACTCGATGTTTTGCAAGACAGCTGAAAAAGTTTAAAAAGCAACGTGTTACAATGATGACTAAAGGAAGCTACTTATTTTTAAATAACATCATCTTCTTGTAGTAGTTGTCTTTATAGGGTTCAGTGTTCATATAGAATGAAAATCTTTCTAAATATGATTGGATAGGCTCTGCAAGAAAGGAAGAGGAATGAAAACTTCTCTTTAGGACAGATGTGAATTAACTCATGGAAGTGGAGAGGAAACTTTTCCTCTGAGCAATATCTTAACGTTGTTCACTGTTGCTTCTTTCAGAGAATAAACAGAGGTCTGCATAGACCTGTCCATTGATCTTGATACAGCCTTGAGTTTCTTCTGTTCCCATGGTACTGGATGCCATTAAAAAGTCATCCATGTTCTATCATGTATCATAATTAATTTAGATTTACAGTGGAACTGGGCAGCCAAGGGGATGTAGGCTGTACATGTTGCAAATCCCTGGCACAAAAGATCAGTGTGAATTCGAAATGGGCCAGATAGTACTTAATGGGTTAATTCTGTTACCTATCTCTACCCTAATATGTTTAGTGCTCCCCACGCAATTTTTCTGGCCAAATTAAAATGTAATATATAAGCTAAATCTTACAGCAGCTTTTGTGTTTTCATAAATATGCTAGCTGCTGAGTCAGAGCTACTCCCAACTGCAGAGTCAGTCTTAGAAAAACTTACAAGGTGATGACACACAAGTGGTTCATCTGAAAAACGTTCTAAGTAATCAAACATTATCTGCATCTTAATTTTGCAAAGACTGTAAAAGGAGAATCATAAATTGTATTTAGGAGGGGAAATCGTTCATCCCTGAAGCAGCTCCACCAGTTTTAGTGAGAGTGTACCTGCAGTTCAGAATATCTCAAGTATTTTTACAATTTTCTCTCTGAACCATAAAATCTTCCTGGATACTTATCTTCCATGGTGAATTGTACCACTCCAGTTCTGCCTTTTTGCCAGTGTAGGCAATGTGTGTAACCAGTGGTGTTGGTCTGACAACGTACTGATTTGTTGTCAGCTCAGACCCAAACTGGGTGAACTTGTAGCTTTAGGAAATCTTCCTTTCTGTGTTTGTGGAGAAGTATGGGGTTGGGTTTTTTAAATGATTCATTACCAATGTGATTGTACTGCCACTCCCTTTTTGCCAGAACAAAACCTGTTTTGCCTTCCCTAGGCTATATTTTACTCGGCCACAAGCATGTTTTCTTTGTGTTTTTGTTTTAAATGATGGACCTCCCAGCTCAAGAGGACAACTTGTTTCATAACAATACAGGAATGGTTAGCCAAACTTTCAGGGACAGTTAAGTCATTATTGAAATACAGAAGTAGATTAACAGTTAACATCTGCTTAGTTATATGCAATGCAGGCAAGACGACTTATGCAATAGCCTTTTACCCTGGGTGGCTCTAAAAGGCGGGGGCCCGGGGGGGAACTTGGCAGTGGCAGGGAAATGAGAATTTTATATTAATTGCTCCAGTTTCTGCTATTCACTGTCAGCTGCTTCCACCTGGTGGCCATTTTGGCAAGAATCCTTTATTTTAAAAAAAGTGTTTAAAAACCAGATGTGTCTTTTACCCCCCGCAAAAGGCAAATATTTTTTCCATTTTGGTTGTTAAGCAGCAAAAGGAGTATGTTAGTGTGACATAACGTTCTTCAATTCTCATGAAGTAACTAAGGTTTATTTTCTCCAACAGCGGCTTATCAGATACAATAATATTGGATATAATATCCAACTACCTGGTCCTTCCAAATAGAATTACAGTCCCCCTTGTCAGTGAAGTGCAGATTGCTCAGTTGCGGTTTCCTATACCAAAGGTAAGCATGTTTCTGTTGATACTAATAATTTGGCATGTAGTTTTTTCTGTAGTAGTAACTGTTAAAGATAGGCACATCTGTGTGAATTTCTAAATACAGTTACTGCAGTAGTACAAGTTAATGTGAATCCAGTCACTTAAAATAATTGATTTAATTTATAAATAATTTCTGTGGAGTTAATGTTTCATAATAATGCCACGAAGGACTTTTTTGTTTTGCTAGAATCTTCAACATATTACTTGCTAAAATATAGTTCAACTGTATAGACTAAAAATTAAGTAGCATATTTTTTATATTATTACTGTAAATTATTGTTAGTGCTCTTCACTTGAAAGTTTCTACTATTTCTTGCTACGCACTTTCTTGATACAGCTGGCATGTTTCTGATTGTTGATGACAGTTTTTCTTGTCAGGAATCTCTTGATTGCTAGGTGTGCTGTGCATGTGGATCATCATTGATACCTTCCATTTACAGTATGTCCAAACTAAGTTTCATGTTAAAGAAATTGCAGTGGAAATAATAAAACATATATTACATAAATTGTGATGACGTGGAAGCTTTCAGATTACTACATAAACTCATCTTTTCCTTTTTCAGGGTGTTCTGAGGATACACTTTATTGAAGCTCAGGACCTGGAGGGGAAAGATACTTACCTAAAAGGAATTGTCAAAGGAAAGTCAGATCCTTATGGAATCATCCGTGTGGGCAACCAGATCTTCCAAAGCAAGGTCATCAAAGAAAATCTCAATCCAAAATGGAATGAAGTTTATGAGGTATAATCAATAAAAATACCTTGTTGTCCATTCTGTAAAGTTGTCTTTTAAAGTTTCTTTTGTTAAAGAAGATACTCTGGGGACTTCCTTGAGGAGCTTCTTGATGTCTCCCTCTAAAAGCCCAAAGTTCTGTAACAAAACAGAAATTCTCCATTGATGTATATACTTTTTTTGTCTAGACTAAGCATCAGTAATTCTGAAAAGCAGTCTAGTCTCTTAAGCCAACATTAGCAAATTGCATCTGAAAAGCTCTTATACTTGCTCTACTCCTTAAATTGCATCTTTTTTAAAGCATTTGCTTATTGATATGTTTTAATACACAGGGGCACTGCAGTTCAATGATTTACTGTTACTATGCCATTTATCAAAGCTAGTTAGTTTTACCATTGACAGTGTCATCTTACTGTACCTCCAGGCCTTAGTATATGAACATCCAGGACAGGAGTTAGAGATTGAGCTCTTTGATGAAGATCCAGATAAAGATGACTTCCTGGGAAGGTAAATGTTATGGAGAATATGTTTGTAGGTATTGAAAAGAGATTAAATATTTTGATATAGTCTTTTTTTTTTTTAATTTTTGCATTTTATTGCAGTCATAGTTCTGCTATATTACTGTATTTATAAATCAAATATCTTTTCAAAATTATGGTAGGAAGTAGTTCCCTAATTACTTCATATATGTAAATATATGTATATAAAAATGTGCTTGTGTGTGTATATACACATCTATATGTTTACATATTTTTTTAAAAAATAAGGTAAGTATTGCATGCACCCAGAAAAAAAAAAGGGATTGTTTGGGGTTTTTTTGTTGTTTTGGGTTTTGTTTTGTTTTGTTTTTTAGGAATTGTACCCTACCTGCTTGAATGTTTGTAAGCTAGCACTAAGTCTTAATTATTTCTTCTGGCAAAGTTAATATAGCTTTATAACTGTCTATCTTCTTCATTTTCATAGGTTTTTAAATGGCTATTTACAGATTATTTTTCTCTAAGAGCTGATCTTAACTATTTTATTAAAGAAAAAAATTGCTGTAATGCTTTTGCAAACATTACTCACTTTTAGATTCCATAGGCCTACCTTTAGTGTTTACCCATAAACATTTCAGGGTTTTAGTCAGCTTCTTTCTCCAGTAATTTGTCACCTTTATTTCTTGCAGAGTTTTGGAGCTTCCCATTGTTGCTTTCCATACAGAGTAGAACTCCCTTATCTTTCCAGCTCCTTCTCTCTTAACAGGAGCAACAGTACCTACTTCTCTTCTCATTAAAATAAAGAAGTAGGTAGTACAAAGGCTTCTTTTCTTTGCACTTCCCTAATCTAACACTGAAGCGGTGGGGGGGGGAAGTGGCATAATGTGTACGTCAGTACAAATAAAATAAAAAGCCACAACAAATGTTCATGCACTGGCATGCAGTTGTCTGCCCCGTTTAATTTTTAGCAGATTCCCTGGTACGTTTTTAGTTTGTGTGAACTAGCACTCTCCCAGACAATGCCAAAGCATGAATTCTGTCATAGCGTATGTCCAGGGGCTATTTCCAGTGGGTAGTTTGGATGTGGTCACTGCTTTGAGAGTTTGGTCATATGTATGTGAGCCATACTGTGCCAGTTGCCCTTGTAGCTACAAAATGGGCTCTAGTATAGGCGTATTTTCTGTTATCCTGCATTCATCTTCGTTCAGCCATTTCATTCCCTACTTCTTCCTCTCTTAGGGGCTAAAAGAATAGTATTCTGCTCTTTTGATCTCACTGGAAGCCTGGATACTCAGCAAGCACAGGGTGGGGTTTGAGTTTTATATTAGATTTTTTTGCCTCTTGGCTAAAATTCTGATATTTTTTTTCTTTTCTTTTTTCTAGTTTGATGATAGATTTAATTGAAGTTGAAAAGGAGCGTCTTCTAGATGAGGTCAGTGTTCAGTAATTTGGGGGTTAAAGAACCCCATATGTTGTATATGTAGTTGTTCTTGTATTATTTTTTTTTTCCCTGGGAATAGTTCCTTTATGTGCATGAATAACCTTAATGCAACAGAAATAGATTCCCTGATGATCAGTACAGAGGTTTAAGGGATAGCTGAATTTGTAAAATCTGAAGAATAATGCCATTCTTCTGTCTTGGGGTTTTAAGATTATTAGTATGTAAATGCACAAAACAGTAACTTACATATTTGGTGAGAGTTTTTTCTTGCAGGAGAATAGTAAATTGCCTGGTTTATTATTAGACTGAGCAGACTAATTTTTGTCCTATATGTAAGACAGATTTTGTAGTAATGTTATGCAGGGTTTGTATTTCTAGAACATCTTTACAGAACTTAAAGAATTCTCTTGATATTTTATAAATGCTTTTACTGTATAACATAGAAGTTTGTATGGCTGTTTTTGTTATTCTGTGTTGTAATATTTAGTGTGAAATAGGACCTTTTAAACAATGGAACAGATCTTTTCAGGTTAGGCAGACTTCAGCTCTGCAAGATTTCTAGTAGAGCTTAGCATTTCCTAAATACCCTGAAGAGCCAATTGCAATCATGTATTTGTTTGGTGTCAGATTATTTCACATTACTTTGCTTAACTTTTAGTGGTTTACTTTGGATGAAGTGTCCAAAGGAAAATTGCATTTAAAACTGGAATGGCTCACATTGATGCCAACTGCTGAAAATCTAGATAAGGTATTAAAGGAACACACTACTTTTATCCTAATCTTAATTGTTGTGGGTGGGTTTTTTTGTTGCAGGTTTGGGGGGGGGG